TGAATATTTTTGACCAAAATCATTCTCATAGTTTATCAAACTACCAATTGGGCTTTAACAGTAATAGCATGGAGGTAGTACGAATTCGAAATTTTCTATTTGTTCCGGATGAATTTCGAATACAATCCAATTAATTTATAGATTCCATCTATGATTCTATAATTTAATTATCATCGAATATATTTTAACGCAAAGAACCGTGTTATCCTTCGTCATCTCGAAGAGAAAGAAGCCGATTATAGAATAGCGAAACTCATCTTAGTTACATTAGTTGTGGGAAGGTTCAGCACCCTTATTTATATATAAGTTAATTAAATCTCAAAAATAAGATGCAGTGTTAAATGTTTTAACTTTGCAGTTCCATTAAATAAAAAGTTCGTAGCTTAGTATTACTTAATCTAATATGACCCGAATTCTCGATTAAGCCCAATATATACTTTATGCACTTATTCCTGGATTCCCATAGTATTTATCGAAATTTCTTGGGTAGCATCACATAAAAGCTCAGAAATAGTGTTACGTTAGTTGGATTACGAAAGAGACTACTAGAGACCGTTTGCAATCTCTTATCACCAATATTTAGGCCTTCTCTGAATATATAAAGAGCGCTGAATAAAATTGCTTCCTAGATTTAATTTTATTATTCAGTTGAGTAAAAGAGACACAATTAACCAAATAAGCACTGCATCAATTGTGGCAATATGCCTAACTGAGTTGGACACTATCTCCACTCTAGTTTAGTTTATGACAAAGCCCATAATTCAGTGATTCCCAAACTGTACGCTTCGGCGCCCCGGGGAGCCGTGGCCTCTTTACAGAGGGGCGTGGCGAAATATTGAAAAAAGATTCAATTTGAGAAAATGTTTGGTGATTTGCAGGATCATCCATCACTTAAATTATTAAGTATTAATTTAATATTCATAAAGTAAACAAAATAGTGAAAATACACGTTTTTTTTTAACTCTTACTTACGAATAGGCATATTTAGAGTAAAGTGCCACGAAAAAATTTTAATTAAAAAAGGTCGCCGCAACAAGGAAAAGTTTGGGAATCACTTCCATAATTCATTGTGTTCTTTGGAATAATTTTTTTGAATAAATATCATGTTAACTAGCTGTATAATATTAAGCGCTGAATAAAATTATAAAACTATTGGCATAAAATTATATCTAATCTAATAATTGCATTTTGTGCCTTTTCAATTTTTCCCGTTTAATCAGTTGCCCAGGCTAGCCCCGCACTTTTGGATAAGGTCTTTGCCGGGCTTTTTTATAGCATGGCCCAGGCCCAAGTCCGGCTAAAAACCTCGTCGGTAAATGTTCTCGTAGATTTATTATTGCTTCAAGGAGATAAGTGCTGCTCAACGTCGTGGTGATGCGATCATAACCACGAAGAAATATGCTGCTGCATCGAATCGCCAAAAGCCAAATGAGAAACACACGAGAAAAATAGAGGAAGAACAGGAGAGCTTTCATATTGAACATGTATCTGCTGACGTTGGCAAAGCGATTATGCAGGCCCGACAAGCGAAAGGACTTACGCAAAAGGATCTTGCCACTAAGATTAACGAAAAACCCCAGGTCCGCTTATTTTTCTTATTTTCTTTTTAGATTGTAAGTGATTATGAAACCGGAAAGGGAGTGAAAAATCAAAATGTTCTAGCGAAAATGGAAAAAGTACTTGGCGTCAAACTTCGAGGTAAAGAAGTCGGGTATCCTCTTGTTCCGCCTAAAAAGTAACAGCTCTTTCGAGTTCATCAATTCTAGGACTAAGCCTTAACCGGCAGTTCTAATTTCTTAAAGGATTTATTTAACGATTCGATTAACATTATGCTGAGCCAGCCTTTATTGACATTCGTTTCCATTACGGTAACATCTCATGGTATCCTTTATTGTTAATGAGCGCAAATTTGCTTCTAAATAAAGATTTTACCGAAGTCAATATCCACGCATCTTCCCGCGAATATCAATAAAATATAACAGCTTTTGTGATTCCTTTGATATCTCATTAATCTAGAAACCATTAAAATTTGTAGTCTGTGAATATTTAATTGTGAAAATCGAGACAAGATGCTCGTGATAAGTGCCTTCTTTATTATTCGAGATAATTACTGAAACAACATTAACGCAGAACTTAACAAACAGCAACCAACAATCATCAGTT